GGTGGATTTCATCCGGCACATATTGTGGAACGTGCAGTTCAAAAAGTTGGTCCCAGATCCGAACGTCAATCTGTTTCGTGTTCGCCTGTTTTGTCAAATCGGGTGGAGGCGCCGAGATGAATGAATGATCCGATCGCCAGGAGAACACCGTGGCCATCATCTGAGCATCTTCTTCTCGGATTGCCACGTGTCCTTCCGGGGTAATCCCGTCACAAACATCCTGCCATGGCACTTCCTTAGTTGCAATCTTTATCCCCAGTCCGTCTGTTTCCGCTTCAAAACGCCCAGGGGATTCCAGAGAGCTTTCTTCCGCCCCCAAGCGTAACAATCTCACTTCTTTAGCCGAGGTTAGTAAGGACTTGGGTAGATCCGTAATGTCACAGTAATGCTTCTTGTCGCTTGGTCCTTTGAATCGGCTGGCTAGTTGCATCGTTCTCGCTATCGTTTTGGGTGGCGGGTAACAAACACGTTGTCGTGCCAATTTCAAGATCTTCGGATCATCCTCGTCACTGCTTTCTGCATCATCTGTTGATGACTCTCCTTCTGCGGATTTCTCCCGGAGATCATGCGGAGAGTCCCTGCCATCATCGGCGAAACCCGCGGAACCGCGTTAATAGTAGTGCGAAGGGTCAATCGCATGGGCATAACGTAGGGTTTTCCTCCTGTATTTCGGAGGACGATCGATCGTCGTTCGAAGTCCAGGTTTGCTCGTAACGCCACAAGAGCGGGAAGTCCGAAGAGAACGTCGTACATATTGACATCTAGTACTACGACATCCCCAAGCGCATGCACTTTACCCAATCGGAAAGCGACATTGGTCATTCTTCCCACAGTTTTAATTCTTTCTTCGTCAGCCGAAACGAGCTGATCTTTCTCAGAAAGCGTGATCAGGTCGTTTTTCCTACCTGCCCTTTCGACCACTCTCAGTGAGATAGCCAACGCAGCCGCTCCCGAATCTATAATAGCATTGTAAGGAATTCCCCAAATTTCTATATCGCACTCGGCGGATTTCCACGAAATTGGTTTAATCCGTAGGAAATGATCATCTTTCTGGATTAAACCTACCCGTATCGGATCCGAAGTACTTGCAGGGTTTTCTTTGGGCGCGGGGCTTTTGGCTTTCGCGTTCGGGGTTCGGGTAAGGGCGAATCACTTTCGGTTCGCTTTGCAATGCTGTAACATCCGCTCGTTAGCCTGCTCGGAGATCGAGAGTAAATGACCAATCGGAAGGGGAATCCGATGGTCCAAAGCTCGGATGATGTTTAATACATCGATCTCCCCGGTGACGGAGGTGGGTCCTCCCGACTCCATTTCTCCTAGGGACGGTCGCCACTCCGCCACCTCTTTCGGTTCTGGTGCTGGTCGGATTGTTCCGATCATTCCAAGCCCAGGGTATCCTAGCGATACGTATTGGTCTAGCGGGATTAACTCGGCGGCCTCTTCCGAGGTAGCCAGGGCACTTCCCCCACCCTCTATTTCTTCCATCAGGGCTCCGACTCGTCCAGGTCCGTTGGCGATGGGAGCCGCAGCCATAGGTGCGGCTCCGATCCGCTGTTGTGGGGGTCGGTGGGGGCAATCACGGGCTAGATGTCCGGTACCGGACTATATTAAGCGATGTCCCCGTCGCTTCGCAAGATCAAAAAGCTATCAAGCCATCATACATAAAAATGCCGACGAGAAGGAACCAATTCGATCAGCCGACAGACTCAGGTTCGAGGCCCCCAACGGTCCGTGCCCACACAACTATATGCTGCCAGGGTTTCAACCTGGGTCTCCATTGTCCTGACATTAGGACGCCGGTGTACTACGCATCAGTACTACAGCATAAGTTCAAAAAAGGCCCTCATACCCGTCCTCGCCACTTTGTCCTAGACAAACGCCGGCCTCTCGTTGGGTGCCCCCAACCCTTACCTGGTAAGCAGGGTCGTAACTGGGGACGCGGGCCCTAACCGAGACCTTTGAAGGCTTTTTGCCTTTCTCTCAAGAAACTCCTCACAATTAGACACATAGTTATGCGCGTCCTTAACTCTCTCTCAGCAGCTTCCGCAGTCTAGTATGGAAGTGCTAGGTCTCCATCTTGGCCCACCATAGTCTGGTTGATCAGGCCAGTTCTACGGCCCACCGCGTTGTTATTTTAGCGGTGGTGCCCTCGCAGGTTGCGCCACGATAGGCTTTTTCCTGATAAGCATTCAATCAGGACTTCCCAAAAAGACTCGTACGACTCGACCCCTATCCCAGGCCGTCCTACAGGGGTAAAACCTTCTCGGGCGGCCACACCCTTTAAGCCTTTACCCCCGTGGCCAGACGTGGGCCCGCAGCCAGGTTGTGCCGGCCTGCGGCCATCCCTAGGGGTTGCGCGCTAGTGGTGCTAAAACTTTACCGTTTAGGTTGGTCTTCCTTGCATGCCTTGAGATTAGCACGAGCGGCCGGGCGGTGCGTCGCAACAACACAGGCCTATTGCGAGACTGCGCCTAGGCCTGTCGCACACGAAAGGTATTTACCAGTCCCCCATGGGACAACATAGAGGAAACATGGCAACCTCTCCACATTCACAAACAAAAAGCACCGCCAGACCCACTAGGCCGTGATCTCCAACCTGATCAAGGTGAGAGGGTCACACATCTAAGTGACACCTCTCAAAATCAAACACTTTTGCGACATTCTCAAGAAATTTCACCGAGTGGCCAGTAAAACCTGGTTCCTTCCGTTAGTCTTTCATCTTACCAACCCAGCTTTTCATGCCATCAGATCTATTAATCATCCTCCCTATGGGGGAGGTCTCACTCAATAGGTCTGTCAGCCATCTCTCTCTTCCTTAAGTTGGGTTCTCACATGACCTGTGGAAAACATTTTCCTTTTTTGAAGATAAGTCTCCCAGATAATTCATAGTGTACAATTCAATCATGGCAACAGTACAACACAAGGGGCCATCTTATGGGTCCCTAATACAACTTAGATTCTTAAACATTTGGCATGATAAACTTTCGATTCCCAAGGACTCATAGACCCTTTAGGATTTTTACAACCCTCTTTCACAAGACAGACTGCGCTCCCTCTCCTTATACTCGGCCCTAGCATCTGCCCATGGGCAGGTCGCACGAGTATACCGAAGAGTAGACAGTTTACATTCACTCACAAGGCATGAACATATGAGTTGTTTGTCACACAAATCCCACACAGATCATCATACATCGGAAAGCCACACGTGAGAGTGAGAGTGATCGTCATGCATAGGGGGTAGTCTCAAGACCTCGCTCAGTTATACACTCAACAATAGAATGTCTCTCAAATCTCAACATCAACTCTCAAATGTCCTGCCCCCCTCTCATATCCAATGGGCTCATACCCTAGGTGTTACTGACTCTCACATCACCTATAGGTAGACTCTGATCTCAAAACAAAACGCAATAYAACTARGTGTCCTAAGTATCWCACARCTAAGTCCCAGTCTTTAGRTCCYAATRYGAAAAGAACCTCAAAACCTTATTGTACATTGGTCCTTTGTCGCACATAACACCTAAGATACACGTATCTGACTCGTGATACCCTATGCCCTTGACTTTACTCTTTCTATGTACAGAAAACACTTCACTTCTACTAGCGTATAGGCGAACAAACCCCTTACTCGCTCATTTCCTCCTGGTTTTGCCTATACAACTGGGCTCGACCCCCATCTGGAGCCCTCTCTACCACTCGACCCTGTCTATCATACAATTTGCCACCTTCCTCAGTAATCCGCCCCTCAGCCTTGTCCTTAAGGAATTTAGGACAGTCTAGGGCCCTATGCATTCCGTCCAGAAAATAGAAACACATAGCCCCAGATTTCCTTTGAAATCTCTTCTTCTTTTTTTGGGTCCCTGGTGACTGGGGCGCCTCTTCCTTCTCCTTGCCCACTTCATGACTCTGGGGCAGGTGCCACGGTTCTTCAATTTCGACTCCCTGGGCACTTGACTCCCTCCGCTGCATCTCTCTCTCGGGCTGGTACTCAAGGGTATCCAATCTCAGTGGCCGGCCCTCGCGGGTTACCTCCAATATGGCTTCCTCCTCCCCCTCTCATGGCCCCGGAGCCTGGGGGGTAATGGCTCTAGTAGGCTGGCTCGTGGCCTCCTGCTGCCGCTGCTCAGTAGTCGGTCCTCCCGAATCAGTCCTAGTGGCCCACGAGCCCAGTTGTACCCTCAACTCTTCCAACTTTGGCCCGTGCTCTGGGGCCTCCAGTCCTTGAGGCCTCTCTGGCGGCGTATCCACTTCCATGGCTGCAACCAACTCGTCCAAGCGTGATGGCCCCTCCCCTTGTGCCTTGAGCTGTGGAGACCCCACCGCTCCAGTGAGAGTCCCCTCCTGTACGTCCAGAAGAATCGCCAACGACTCCTCTGCCGCCCCCTCTTCTTCTGGTGTAGGTTGGGGTTCCTGGGTCGAGGCCTCCATAGGAGTACCCTTCGAGGTAGCGGCCTCCTGCTGCGAAGCCAGCTCAGTGGGAGCCTTGAATTCAAAGCTTCCCTTGTTGGCTTCCTTCCTTGCTTCTGCCTCAGCTGGGTCCAGAAATACCTTCCCCAACTTCTCTTGTCGAGATGCCTATGCTGCCTCCTCTTGGCCAAACAGCCCCTGCACCTCCTTGCCTTGGATGCCGTACCTGCTCTGCTCAGTCCAATCAATCACTTTGGTGGCGGTAAGCCTTTCCACTGCGGCCGCCATTTCCTTGAGCTTTGCCTCCCACTCAGCCTCCTTCGCCTCCAAGCGAGCCTGTTTGGCCCTGCTCTCGGCCCTCTCCTCTGCGAGTTGGGCAGTCAGTTGTTCCACCTCGTCTTTCCTGAGGGCCAATTCGTCACTAAGCAGGGAGTACCTTTGAAAGGCCTCGATGGATGTCTGCTTTATCTCCTTGTCCACCCACTCGATAGCCCTTCTAGTGGCGGCAAAACCTAGCTCCCCGACCTCTATCGCCTCGTCCGCACCCTCAATCGCTTGGCCCGCCTCTCGTGCCCTCTGGCGAGCTGCCTCTCTCCGTCCCTCATATCTGGCCCATAACTCGTCAATCCTCTCTTCACTTGTCTTTGGGGCGACTAGTGGCCTTGGCGCTATCCCTGCAGCCTCCATCCTGTCCCTGCGCTCATGTATCTCCTCAAGGCGAGCTCGTACCCTAGCACGCTTTGCCTGGGCGGCTTTGTCCGGCTCCTTTCCTGTGCCTGCTTCTGCGACTTCCCCAATTGCGGCCTGCAAACCCTCCTCTAACTCAGTACCCGCTGGCCCCGATGATAGCCCAACCAGGCTGGGCTCCTCAATGTCAGGGTGCTCGGCTGCGTGCGCGACTAAATGTGAGTCGACAACCAGGCGGGGCTCCGTCCTCCACCCCTCCACTTGCCCTCTCGCCTTATCCTCGTGCCTGGGTGACATAGTGACCTCTGGTGGTGGTACTGGGGCCTCCTGGCTGTCCGGCTCCGCGACGCCCTCTGGCCAGGACCGCCGTGTCTGAGCTCAAGCTGGGGAGTCAGGGGGAGTGTCACCTTCCACCACAATGACATCTTCCGCACCTACCCCCTTCAATCTGAGTGGCTCCGCCTCAGGCTCTAGGCGAGTCTGCTCCCCTCCTGATGGGTCCGTAGGGCTCTCTCCTGTTGCAGGGGCCTCCCACTGGGATGCGTCCAAGTGGGCCTCCAGACTCCTGAAAGGCGCTGCTGGTACCTCGCTCTCCCTCTGCTCTAGTGCCTGTGGCGAGGGCCCCTGTAGGTCACCCTCTGTAACTTGGTGGAATTCCACCTGCCTGAGGCCACAAGCAGGGAAGGACTCCCTCGCCCTAGCCGGTCCTGCTTGTCCTCCTTCCCGTTGTGCCAGGGCCTTCCGGCCACCTCTCGACATCACCGGCTCTCTTGCCTCCAAATCCCTTAACCTCTTGCTTCGCCGCCTTCTATCAACCCTTGGTTCTGGCCTCTCTGGTTCCGGTCGCCGAAACGCCACCCTGAGTTGAGCCCGACAATCCTCCCAATCTTGTGCCCACCTCTAGATTTGTCTTGCCAGTGGACGCTCCGCCTCTATGGTCCAAAGGCGCATCGCCTGTACCCACTCATCCCTCGGAACCCCCTGATCACTCATATATCGTTCGTATGCTGGGATGAATTCCTCCACGTTCCCTTCCTCTAAGCGGATAGGCAGCCCATCATTTCCCAAAGGTGAAGCTCTCAGTCTCTGCATCCTTGCCTCTACCTCAGACCACGTCAGGGCCTCCTCTCTGATCTGCGCAATGGGCTCCTCGAACCTCCCAATCCCCCTCAAATGACGTACCCTCTCAGACATGTCCCATCCTCTCCGGGCTGCATGCTCTTGGTAGGCGTCCAGGAAAAGCTCGATATTGTCGTCATCAAACACGGGTGTAAGCTCTCTCCTGAAGGGCCCATGCTGCTCCTCCCCTCCGGATGCCCCGAGAGGTCTCTGTCGTGGCCGCGTGCCCCGCCCGCCCCTTTGCATGGCTGCCTTCAAGAAGTCAGACCTGCACATCAGGCGAAACGAAACAGACAAGCACACGACAGGATCAACATATGGTTTCAGCAGTCCTCAGAGCAAATATACACACAATTTTTAGACATTTCAAACTTTTCTTCGCTTTCAATCATGGCATGCAATACTTAGGACGAGGGTCTATTCTGGGAGGGATCGCTGTTACTGGGAGGGGTTTCGGCTTTACCTATTCCCTGGCCACAAACTTCTTTAGCCTTGTCCCAGATACCCAATCTTTCCATTCCGTGCCGTTTAGCTCTTCGATCTGGTACGCCCCAAACTCGCCGCATCGCACAATCCTGTAGGGCCCCAACCATCTTTTGTCAAGTTTTCGTGACCACTGCTTTTCCAGGGATGAGTCGTATAATAGCACACTATCTCCCACTGCCAAGGGCTCTTTCCGCACTCGCGCCATTTGATCCCACCTCATCTTATCCTCCATGCGACTTCTCTCTACCTGACCAGCAGCCTCTCGCAATCTTTCCTCGGCCGCTCCCACTTGCCGCGCCTGGATATCGAGCAGCTCCTCGAAGGACAGGTTTACTTCCAAGTCCTGGCGCCTCCACGTTTTCATAAAGCTTTCTATAGGGAAGGTGGCATGCCTCCCATACCATAGCGTGGCTGGCGCATACTTGGTAGTCCTCTTCACCGTAATATTCTCCACGAAAAAAGTCGCTCGCAGGAATTTCGGCCACTGACCAGGCTTGCCCTCCGTCCACTTGGCCAAAAGATTCGTGATGGTACTGTGCCCCCTCTCCACAGGAGCATTTGCCTGAGGGTGCGCAACCGTAGTATAGTTGGCTACTACCCCATACCCAGCAAGCAGAGTCCGCACCTCATTGCAAGTAAACTCCGATCCTCGGTCCATCACGAACTCCTTAACGAAAGGATAGCGCAGGTAAAACTCCTCGATGCAATTTGCCAAAACTGGGCCAGTCTTCGTCCGGATAGCCCGACCGTCCACAAACCCAGTGAGGTTATCCCGAGCATCGAAGATATAATTGCACCCATTTCCCCCAACTGGCATAAACAATAGGTCCAGGTGTACTACTGCACCCACTTCCCTTTCCAACCTTGGGTGCAGGGGCTCTTCTGGCCTCTGCGCTGACCTCTCCTCGCAAGGTACACAGGATTGGCAGTACTTGATGACCATCGTCAGCATTCCATCCCAATGGTAGAGCTCGCTTATCTTCGCGCATGTGGCACCTATCCCTCTGTGCCCTCCTGCTATACCATCGTGCAATGCTGCTATGATGTCCAACTGTCAGTTCCTTCCCCACACAATCCGCTTGGGGTTCCCGACCTGCCGATTTATAAACAGATGCCCATCCCTCACCACATAGAGGTGCCTCAACTTCTGCGCCTTGTCGCTAGCATCCCTGTCCCTCATCTCACAGGATAGAAGTAGGCCCAGCATAAGATAGATCCCGTTGTATTCCTCTGCCCGGAATGCCTCCTTAATCTCCCTTTCTTCGAACTCGTCATCCTTACTTTCCGGAATCAGGAGTTCATCCTCCTCATGACTAAACGAGCCTCTCCGGTCGAAGTCTCCTTGCAGGAGCGTATTAGTGAGCAGATACATCTCTCCCATTAGCTGCTCATGTTCCTCTACCTGAGTAGGCCCTTCCTCTATTGTCCTCACCTCTTCCACCAAGCCATGTGTCCCTGCCAGTGCCAACTTCATCATCCACTGCGTGTCCTTGCCTCCCCACGGATCTTCTTCCTGAAAGGGCTTAAGGACTAAGTCGTCCTTCCGCTCATACCCTCTTGGTGCTATCCATATGGGATAGCTAACACAACTGGGTACTCGCAGCGCCCATTTGTTGATATGGAGTTGCACATCCTCTTCTTGATCCAGGAACCCGTCAACTGGCGGGTTGTCTTCGATCGACCCCTGATCCATGCTGTCCCAGTTGACGCGGCTCAGGCCGTCAGCCCTGTTCTTGTTCCCTGGGATCCTCTCCAGTTCAAAATTAAACATCCAAATGTACGTCAACCATCGGGCGACGGTTGGGTCAGATGGTGTATAATTCTTCAAGGAGCAGGCTAGTGCCGTAGGGTCCACCCTTAATATAAATCTCCTGTCGAAGACATAATTCCGGAAGACCCTTAGGCAATGGAGTACCGCGAGCGTCTCCTTCTTGAACTGAGAGTAATTCCTCTCGGTCGTATTAAGAGTACGACTTTCGAATCTTAGCGGCCTCTCCTTTCCTCTGGCATCTGCCTGGATCAAAACCCCTCCCAATGCAGTTGGCCCAGCGTCGGTCTCGATGATGAATGACTTTTCTTCAGTCCGTTCATAATTTGGCGCTCCCAGCACCAATCCTCCTTCCTTGAACTCTCCCTTCATCCTGGCTACCGCTTCTTCTTGGTCTTCGCCCCAAACCCACTCTTGGTTCTGGCGCACCAGCTTCCTTAAGTGCCCAGTCTTGGCGGCGAAGTCTTTCACGAAGCTTCTCCAAAATCCACAAGTGCCAAGAAAGCTTCTCACATCCGTTATGGTCTGGAAAGGCACCGACCATTCTAAGATCTTGTCTGTCTTCTTCACATCTGGCTTCCGGCCTTCCTCATTGCAGACAAACCCCAAGATGGTAGCTTCTCTCATACAGTGCTTGGATTTTGGCCCGCTTGCATTGAGGTTGTGCTCCTCTAGCAGACCCAAGACTTGATCAAGATCCTGGATATACCTCCAAACAAAGCGTCTCACTCCGGGCTGCACCTTGTCCGCCTCTCTCTCTTTTGGCCCTTCAACCGCCAAGTCGTCAATGTAGGGCTGAGTGATGTGCGGGCTGACTGTTTGCATGGCCCTGATCATATGTCTCTACACCATCGCCATCGCATTTGTCCAACCCTGAGGAGCCACATTCATGTGGATTAGCCCCCTTGGCGTGTGCATCGCCGTCACCGGCCTATCGGGCGGGTATACAGGAAATTGATCATACCCGGAGTAGAGGTCTATAAGTGAAATTATAGGCCTCCCCGCGCGTGACTCTGACAGTGCATCTGCGTTCGGCAAGCCTCCCGCATCTCGCACCGTTACTGCGTTCAGCCGCTGCAGATCCTGTGCCCACTGTAGCGTCTCGTTTGGCTTAATAAAGCAGAACCAAGGGGAGGCATGCGGACCACTAGAGTAGCCGGCAACATGGGTGCGCATCTTGCCATCCAGATAATCCACCACCATCTTCTCCTCATAAGGGTTTGGGTATCGCGCACCCCTCAAGTTCTAGGGCTCATGGGGGACTGTGTGGATCCGGATCATCGGGACCTTGCCCACATCCAGCCTCCCACGCTGGTCGCTGGTCGTCATTAAAGGCGTATGCGCGATGCCTTCTCTTCATCAGCTGCACCATCAGCATCCTTTCCTGAGGCGAGAGAAAACCTGGCTCCCCAACTATTAACTCTCCTTCATTCCATCATTGATACGACACGGATCCCTCAAGGCCTGCTCTTGCATTCGCCGTATCAATCCTCGCTCCCGCTCGTAATATGCCTCTTCATCTTCCGTAACGAGCACGGGAACAGGGTGGCACTTCTTATCTACCGTTTTGTACCGCCTTTGGGCGCCCTGCTTGAGCCGTCCCCTAAAAAAGGCCGGCTTGTTGTTTGCGCTTGCGCCATTGCAGGCCCCTTTCTTCCTCCGGGAAGCCGATAGATAAGTTCCACCTCTCCTGCCTGCGGGCATTCCAAAACATGCTCTCGCAAGGCCTTGATGACCTCCGGGTCCGCCATCTCATGTGCCGCCACGATCTCCATAGCCTTGCTTACGTTTGTAAGGCTTAGTGACAGCACCTCTGCCCCACCTTCCTCCTCGGACTCCTCCGCAAGCCTCCGCCGCTCGTTCTCCGATTCCACATAGGTGAACGAGCCGGGGTTAGGCCTATTCCGCTCGCTCCCTGGCCCCGTGTTCCGGCAGGTGACAACTTCGTAGTTCCCACAGGCTGGATCACTCAGGAGCAATATCATCGTTCCATCGTGCTTGTTGAAGATCAAGGTCTCCGTTCTGCACATGAACGATCTACCCAGAAGGATGGGATGGTCCACATCTGGCATGATGAAAAAGCACGTCCTCGCTCGCACCTTGCCGATGTCTATAATCACGTTCGACGCGGTGCCGCAAAAGACTGCTTTGCAGTTAGCCCCGTGCAGCACGCCGTGATCTGCACGGTCGATCTCCATCCCAAGCATGAGCGCATCTCTTTCCCTGATGATATTCATTTCAGGGCCCGTATCCATCATTGCCACACACTTCTTCTCTTTTATTACCAAGTCCACTAATCCACATGCCGCACACTTCCAGTCCATTCTTGTCCCCGCTTGTGTCCAGCCCACTTCCCTGGCCAGGACGACGCTCAAATGCACGTTGGGCACTAGCCTTCAAGACAATCGCCCTTTCAATTCCTCCCGGAGTCTTGGTGTGGACGCCATAATATCTTTTAAGTTCATAAGGTCGTTATGACCTTCAAGGAGTCGGTCCACCATCCTTTCTACGTCAAAATCCTCCTCCAACCTAACGGTGTACTTTCTTTTCCTGGGCACACCATCCTGTAGACCTGGCTCGGCTCTCTCCTGCGCCTCCTTCCTCTGCGCTCTCTGCTCCGCCCACCGATCCTCCTCCTGACAGAGTCTCTCATCCTCCATGTCGTCATCCTCTTCCTCTTCCTCCTGGACCTCAATCACCTCCTTCCTACGCTCAGGCTCAGGTCTCTTTCGTGGGGGTGCCTGACTTGGCGCTTGGCTTGGTAGCTGACTAGGACCCACCTTACTTTGGCTCCTGGCTTGAGTTGCTTGCGGCGCCCGCCCGTGCGGGGTGGGCGACCTGAACATCATCCCTGACCTGGGGCCAGACCCCGCCACGGCAACCCCGGGGCTACTCTGCTGTCCAGCTGCCGGCCCCGGCCCGGTCTCATAGAGGAAGACCTTTGGGAGGTCGGCTTTCCACCCTTGGACTTCATCACATAACTCTTTCAGCTTCCGCTGGTACCTCCCTATTTTTTCCATTAAATCCTCCATCTTTTCCAGGGTGGTTACGGCTGGCTCCCCTTCATCCTCTCTCTCCTCATCGTCTGACTCGACAATTATCGGCTCTTCCTTTATGGCTCCGACCTTTAATCGTTGCGTAACCTCCTCACTATCCCCCGTGATCTCTTCGATCCTTATGGCGGGGTCCTCTCTCTCCTGCCAGAGTCTAAACATGGCCGGGGCGGTCGATGGCCCTGCCGCCGCCCGCCTGAGGGCTTCCTGCCTGATCCCTCCCGGGGTCCTGGGGTCAATGTGCTCCCCCCACTTGTCGTATATATCCCCATCCATACAAGAGGAAATCAGGCCCGCAAGCTCATCATCCCGCCGTTGCTGGCAGAACCGAATCGTGTGGCCTACAATACCACAATGCCAGCAGGTTGCATTCCGCCAGTCGAAGCGGGGTCTCCCATACCCTTGGCCTCCTTGCTGACTACCTTGGTCTCCTTGGCCCTGGCCCCCTTGGTTGTTCCATCTGCCGCCACGTCCTCCTCCATTTCGGCCTCGTCTGCCACCCCATCGGCCTCCTTGTCCCCGACCACCATTGCCCTGCCCCCCTTGCCCTTGGCCTCCTCCTCCCGCCACACTAGCTTGCGACGTTTGCTGTGAGGGGGGAGGCTGGCCCGTGAATTGGCCTTGCGTCGCCGGGAAACTTGGCGGCCCTGCGCTTGTTGACGGACCCGAGAATGGAACCATCTGTCCAGTATGGGCTTGGCCCCCTCCGCACGAGGTACAATGACTATAGCTGGGCCAGGGTGCCGCTTGACAATGTGGCACCCAATGTCCGCAGGCCGGGGGCGACCCCATTGGCGCCGGCCCTGTCGATATGGGCGCGGCTACGACGGCTACTGGTGGTGCAGCAATTGCCTGGGGGGCCTGTCCTTTGCCAGACCCTTGGCCACCCAGCAACAAATTGCGTTGCTTCCGCTGGGCCTTAGTAAGGATTTGCGACCCCGTCTCCTCCCCACCGTAATCCTCTTGCCTGGCGCCTTCATCCCCCACCTCTTTCCCTCGGCCTTGGACCACGGCTACAGCCTTTCTCTGCGCCTCGGCATCCTGGCCATAGCCTAATGCCGCAAGTACATCAGTGACGATCCTTTTTACTCCTGGGGTCCATGATACAGTAGCGTCCCTTTCCTTCCTCTTCCTCCTTTGCAAGCACATCTGATGCTGCTCTACCTAGTCTAAACTCCCATCCTCCACTCCTCTGTCGATGGTGGCCCAAGTAAGCTTTGCGCTGCCTCCTCCATGACTCGTCAGTTCGGCTGCCTCTGACCCAGTAAGCAGTCCCAGAAAGATAGCGCACTGCCTCTCCTCAGAGATCCCGTGAACTTTCCTCGCCTTCTTCTTAAACTCTTGTACGAAGGCCCCTATCGTGGTAAAGTTATCCTTGTTCTTCCGCTCAAGATCTTGGATGGTAAGCAACCCATCACCCAACCGATACTTGCGCAGCATGTTCTCCCTGAATCTTGCCCAACTGCCATGGGCAGCGTCCACAACCTTCTGCACTTCCTGGTGGTGCCTATGGAGCACATACCTCATCGAAATGGAAGGTCTCAACCTTCGGAACGTTACTCGGGTTCCTCTCGTATCGATCTAGGGCTGCAATGAGATCCTCGATGGTCAGGACCCTTCCGGCGTCACCACCCTCCGGCATCTTGGCAGGCCTCCTTTTCCAATTTCCTGTTAAGAGCAAACCAAAGGCACTCACCTACTTAGCATCCTACTCCAACCTGGTCTAGCCCGCATTTCTCACCTAGCCTCACCCTTGTCGTGAGTATTGCCATCCTTTACGCTCTTGGCTAGGACCGGGCAGGCAATCAAATACACATATACCGGCGCTAACTTCTCCTTTTTATACTTAGTCCCTCATCACTTACCTTTCTTTTCAACCACACTTATCATTCTCTTATGCCTATTTTCTCACTTGTACCCGGATGTCGTTCCACCAGGGACAACGGTAGGCTTCCGTTATCCCCGGCAACGGCGCCACCTGTCGAGCGCATCGGCCCGGCACTGCTCGTGGCAGCGCGGGACCCTCTCGGCCGCGTCACGCAAGAGTTGGATTAACCTTTTCGCGAACACACAAATGGAGCTTCCTTAGGCCGCTCCGGCCGAGTGCGCCAGCCATACCTCTCGTGAGCCCCTACGACGGGATAGGGCCTACGCGAGGCACAACTTACCTCCACCTTATGGGAGTTGTCGTCTCCCTTCGGTGGGCGTATCCCTGTCGAGCTACCAGTCCACAATACGAAAGCTACTCAATTGCAATCGCAGAGGTGGACCAGCCGAGGGCGTTTCTCGTTCGCTGTAGCATTGGAGGTACGCGCGGTAGCACGCCTATCGGACCCGCACGCGGACCGACACCTTGGGGGGCTGAAGTCCCAAGGGCAGTTCGTCGCCGGCCGGCTAGGACGTATCCCACTTACCACGCATACACTACTCTACGAACACAAAGGGAATGCACGCACACACATACACACATAGAACGACATGGCACAAACAACGCGACGACGCCCCTAGCCCCTCAGTAGCCATCCCATAACCCTTCGACGCAGAAATCGGGTGGGCGTCGCGCGCGAGACTTTAGTATAAAAATCGCGCAGACGCAAGGCTACTCACATTTGACTCGCGATGCAAACGTGCGCAAGCGGTCATAGTGATGGCGTACTATATGGTACCCACATCCATGTGGTCCTCGTTAATCTCGAGGGTCGCATTCGACACTCAAGTGTCGGCTGACACGCACCTTGAGGGTTAATCTCTCGACGCTGGACAACTGCCATGCGCGGTTGAAGACCACACCCTCTTCTGCACCCTGTGCAGAGGGGTTGAGTAGACAGCTTTAAGCTGTCGTGGCGGTCGAACATCAAGGGGTTTGACTTTGACGGCCGCCACAGACTATAACGTCCAACCAGGAAAACGCAAAAAGGAAACTCACTCCAACCCCCATTTGGTTGATGGCCTTCTAAAATGGAAGGGGGTGGGTAAGCCCAAACGACGCGCGCGCGGAGGAGGTCCGGGATCCTACCCATGGGCTACCCGGCGTCCGGGATAATGAGGCCCGTACACGGACTCCCATAGGCTGACCGGGGCTAGTCCTCCGCCCACGTGCCGCTTCAAGTTAGCAAAACCTCAAGTTTACTAGCCGTATCACGATCGTGGTCTCGCCGCCTGACCCATAACTCTTTTAGTGTGGGATGCGACGAGTGTCGCGCACGAACTTAGTATAAGATCACGAGGGTGCTGGACTTGCACATATTATCTCGCTATGCAGCTCTACGCGAGTAACTGCGATGACGACGCATTATGTAGTGCCCACACCCAAATGGCCTACTCTGAGCTCAGGCGTTGGCTAAAGCGCGAGCAAAAAGGGGGGGGTAACCCTCTAGCTGGAGCAAAATTGACCTGAGGGCCTTCCCGCCTTCTGCACTCTGAGGTGTCCCAGCGGGTGCGGGGCAAGGCGGCCCCTAGGGTAGGAAGGGGTTTGGAGCGGTGGTGAGTTGTCTGGCGCATCACCAGCGACACGCTAACCCTTCCGCCCGGAACTTTATTGTTCCACCAAGATGAATCGCAACAAGGAAGGGAAACAAGCACTTTTACCGCTTATTAAAGAGAAACCCCTCTCGTGTTAGGCTCGGGGCCCTTATTGCGCGGGTACTTCAGGCCGCGCTAATTCCTCACGTAGGTACACATACACTCGCACATACATATACACAAGGGGGATAATTATGTGACGATCACTTCTCACAGTCATAGTGGGTCTCCTTCTAACCATACATATATACGCGACGGCAAGGCAGCCCAACCAAAACCCCAAGTCTCTGAACATACCTGCAATCACATCAAAAGTCAGACAAGAGTCCACACACTACACAGAGTCAACTCCAACCAGCTCCTATACTCGTACCCCTTGCTTTAGCCATGCAAGCCCCAACCTCCAGCCAAACAACCTTAAATAAATACTCAGAACCTCTGTTAAATGGCCATTGAATAAAAGTCCGGGTGAAACCCTTAACAAACAAGAAGATCACCAGGGCTAAAACCTTTTAGGTTGAGTATGGGGAGCGAGTAGGAATTGAGTCGCGAAACGACGAATCGGCAACCGACCTGTTATCAGCGATAACAGCGGGTGATCCTCAACGGATCAGATGAACCTAGCCCAAGTCCTGAATCAGATCGATCAAGTTGGCCTGTAACACAAGACGGTCAATGCCCAAGACTAAACCTGTAAGCCTTATGCGAACTATCGCTATATGGTAATCTCATCTAACCTCCTGGTAGCCAACTAGGTCTGAGCCTAGTCCTAAGTCAGGGCTCGGAGAAAAGGTAGACCTTTGGCTGGGTTTCCCCCATACAGAGTGGACTGCCAACTCTGCCACCTGTCATAATATAATCTAACTCATCTAAACTAAGAAAATTTCGGCAGCGCTTCCCGTAGGAAAACTGTCTTTCCAGAATTTATATAAGCCTGAATACAAAAACAAGAATAGTCTTTGACTTTTCAAAGCTCAATTTTGTCTAACTCCCTGACCTAGCAAAAATTTGGGCAGCACTCTCTTTAGAAAGGGAGACTTTCCAGATTTCTACTAGGCCATATATGTAACTTAGACAACCTGAGCTCTGAAAAGCCTAAATTTGACTAACTCCTTGGATTTGCAGAAATTTCGGCAGCGCTTCCCATAGGAAAAGTGGCTTACCAAGATTTATACAAGCCCAAGTTGAGAAAAGACCTCAGATAAAAGCAGAAATCAGACTAAGTGAAAAAAAACTATCTCAGAAAATGCAGAAATTGAATCTAACTCCTATAGCTCTAGCACTTGGCGAGCCACTACAGCAACTACCTATCAACTCAAACTCAGACTAGGTAGCGATGCCACTAAGCCACATGCAGGCCAAACCACAAAGGTAAGTACTCTCACCATCCCCAAGTTAATTTAGCAAACATTAGTTCATAGTCTTTCAGTGTTTTAGCCCTTTATACCCCGCTTACATAGGGCATTGGGACTGGCCATTCATCTTAGAAACAATGGCAGCCCTCTGTCCTTAGTTATACACGAACAGGTTGCACAACTACTTTTCTCTTCATTGGCCATGTGACTAAGCCATTCATCTTAGTCGCCCTGAACTGTTTAAATAGCCAAGTTATATATACCTTTCTGCACCTTAGTCTTCAAAAGGAGGGCGCAGGGCTGAGCCATTCATCTTAGAAACAATGCTCAGCCTGCCCAGGTTACTTTCAGTTATAGCTCTTGATTATACTCTTTTCGCTTGTGATAGGCTTATAGCCAGACCATTCATCTTAGAAACAATGCCTGTCTAGCCTTGTTCGTATATAAGTATATATAAGTACATATATATATCACAGTATAGAGAATCCTATTCTTTTGTTTTCGTTATGGTCCTAAGGCCTCAGATTTAGACCATTCATCTTAGAAACAATGTCTAGTCCTCTGGCCCTGAATCCTCCCTCAGAATAAAACAATCAAGGAGAGATGAGCCATTCATCTTAGAAACAATGCTCAACTCTCCCTTTTTCAGCACACAAAAAAAGCAGAGTACCCTGGGTTTGACCCAGGGACTGTTCAGAAACCACCCAAGTAAACAGCGGCCAGACCATTCATCTTAGAAACAATGTCTGGCCCTCAAAAGTCAAGCAGCCAATACCCCTAAAAAAAAATAAGCAGCTAGGCCATTCATCTTAGAAACAATGCCTGGCGAAATTAAAGAAACACAGCAACCAAGCCATTCATCTTACAAACAATGCTTGGTTCTTCAGAAAACAGAACAGAACATAGCAGTCAGGCCATTAATCTTAGAAACAATGCCTGACCCTACAAGACCCGTTCAATCGCAAGCAAAACTACCTTTCTCCCAACCTCTCCCCCTGATGCAACCCCTTGTGACAATCTGCCTTCAGGCAAACAAGAAACTGAAACTTCCATTATACAATCATTCCTTTAGTTAGTTAGTCTGATTTGTGTCTTGAAAGTCAAATCCCAAAAGTCAAAGTAGAGGTTGCACTCAGCATAGCCAAACAATACATAGGGAGGTGTGTAGACAGGGGTTATACTGGGTTTACAAGGAGAAGCAAAGGTTACCTCTGAGTTCCCTGCCTCCAGAACTCCTCCCGAGTTCCGGCAGGGCTCCCGCAATCGGTGGGGCAACCTCCCACAAAGGCCTTGGCGCGGATTACGGGTTGCAATCCCGCCTGCCGCCTTCCTCTCCAAACCAATGGACTAGACTGAGAGTGAGAAGGGCAGAAAGAGAAGCATTAAGTCTCTCAAATACAAGAGGGGTGCGCTCAGACTCGCGTGAGAGGGCCTTGAAGTCTTCAGCACCTGAGGGCCCCACAATGATGGCCAAGTATAACAACTTGGTCAGCTCCCAAGTCAGACAGCGGAATCAGACTCTCCTGGCAGACTCCCAAGTTGCAGCGATAACCCCCCCCCTTTTTTGCGTTGCCCACTCTCCAAGCCCCTACAGCAGCAGCCTTTCTTCCTATCTGGCTGCAGTCACTCACCACTGAGCAGCTATACTCTATAAGCACTGTGGCAGTCCTTCGCAGCCTGTCGTAGTACGCAGTTGTTAGTTTGTGCAGAGTTCACAGGCGTAGCCGCACATGCAACAGCACCCTGCAGCAGTCAACAGCAGCTTGCGCACTGCCAATGGGCACAGTAGCAGTTCGCGATGGCCCCGCAACAGCCAGCAGCAGGCTGT